CACACACACACACGCACACACAATAAATGAGTCAGATAAAGATTGTGTTAACTGCCCCCGGACCTCCCTTCAAGGGACACATTGGAGGAGGCAACAGCACTTCTCTCTCTCTTCTTTTCTCTCCCTGCTTTCTTTTTCCCCTCTCTTTCCCTCCGCTCTCCTGCCCCAGTCCCCTTACCTGTCTGTGTGGGTGTCCCAGTAGTGTGTTTGTGTGCGTGTACGTGTCCGAAGACATGAGTTTTCATTGCGACACACTCTGAGCGATATTTGAGGTTGGCATCGCATGCAATTGTTGCAAGTATATGGGTGCAAAACAGCGGATGGGCGGCTATGGGATTATTCGGTTTTCCACCAGCATGAAGGTTGTCTGAACTTATGTCGATGCTATTTTATGGCGGTGGCTATCGTTGCGATGCTATTTTGTGGCTGTGGGATTATTCGGTTTTCCACCAGCGTGCACGAAAAAGACCCCACGGTCACCGGGCAAACCATGGAAAATAAGCTGCATAACAAAAGAAAAAGAAAACGAAAAAAAAAAACAAAAACAAAAAAACTGCAAACAAACAAGCAAGGTAATCAGCGAGGCGACATTGATTCTACAATATGCTAGAAGCCTAGAATCTGGTACAGGCCAGCAGCCATCAGGGGAAGCAACGAAAAAGGGAGCGCACATGGTCGACAATAATTTTTCAAGTTGGGGAAAAAAAAAAAAAAAAAAAAAAAAACCTGCGTCTGCAGATGAACGAACACTTGGTGAAACATCAGTGGGCGCAATCAGCAGCATGGGTCCGATGACTCAGATCCCTTCCAGGAAGCTTCAGGTCCAGCACCAATGGAAGTCGATTCCCCTTCTCTTCTCCCCTAACAGAGTGTGATATGGAAGATGCAGCGCCCAGCTCGAACTCTGAGGTTTTGGAAGAAGAAAAACTTCAGAAAGTGATACAGCTGGGAGAATGGCTGCTCAAGGCTACGAAAACCAAGTTTGGGGAAGCATCAGTTGAGTTTTGGGATGCGTCATATGTAGTATCTGCGCAGCTCATTGCTTTTACAGTTTTACTTAATAGCGGTCCCCAGTCCCAGCTTAAACCACCAGTACCTCGCTCAGCTATCGGCCGCGGGCCTTCCCGTATACGCGCCGCAGCCTTAGAGGGGTCGGCCAAGGGAAGGCCCGGTCGTAGCACAAAGGCCGGGCCCCTGTTCTGTAGGGACGACACTACTACAGATAAACAATAAAAGAAAGAAGAAAAAAAAAATGAAATACGCAAACGAAAAAAAAAAGAAATACACAGAAGGAAAGTCGAGCGGGAGAGAGAGAGAGAGAGAGAGAGAGAGAGAGAGAGAGAGAGAGAGAGAGAGAGAGAGAGAGAGAGAGAGAGAGAGTCTCGCTTCGAAAAACGAAACGGGAATGCATCTTTCCCCGCGAT